AGAATTGTGATGGTTCTATTGAACGTTGGCTTGTCTGCAAGCTTCTTATTTCTCTTGTCTAAAGAAGGGTATCTATTATCCACTGGTTGCCTTGAAATGTAGAGCTGATCACTGTCATGTCAAATTACCCACTATACCAGAAGTTAGTCCAATGTAGTACAATCGTTTGTCGTCTTGCATAGTTGTTCTACCTGATCCCACCTTTATTGTACATATAGTATACTAGATCTAATCATAAATTCAGATACATTGTCGTGTGAGGCTTAACATCAGTCTAGTTATTAAAGTAGATTATTATTACACGATAATAACAATTTTCTCTAAAAAATAAAATGAGTTCATTATTCTTCTGTTTAAATAATGCCTACTTTTATTATATATTTCAGTTAACGGTACCTATATCGCATGAACTGAAAAGATAGTAGCCGTATTTTGTTGGATTGACTTTTAATTTGTGTCTGTGCAATGGATGCAGACAAAACTGTCACAAGGATACAGTTAAGTATAATTTTTAGAACCCAATAAGTAATAGGGAAGATTACACGAAAACTCCTCAGATTATGGCGTAAATTTCAATGTCGTCTCAAATTGTTATAGATGAGATAATAGAGATTAAGATTATCTTTCTTGATAAACGTTGTATAAATATATATATTTGCCTGTAATTCTTCAAAATGTCAAAAAACAGAAGTAGGTACATCAAGTAATTCAAATTACGTTTATTTAAAGTCTGTAAAGAATGAGTAAATTCTGGCGATAAACAAAAAATAATTAATAGAAGGAATGTTCACTTTGAGTACCTATGCAGCAGTTGTAATATAAGTTGTAGTATCGTTTTTTAACACCATACGCTTTGTGTTTCTAAAAGTGGCGTTGTTTTAGTAATCATTTATAGCACCCGCCAATGTTGTCACATTACGACACGTCGCACTGTTTCTATATCGTAACCGCAAGCGTTTTATATTGTTTAAGCATCCACTGCACAGCTATGTTTTATCGACAAAACAAATATCCGAACCAATCTTTTTAGAAGCGTGCGAACAATCTGATATTTAAAAGAGCCAAAGAGCAGATTATCAAATATTTGCGGTGTTCATGATGTGATAACAGCAAACACGTTTGCCCGCTGTGGCAATATTTAAATTATTTAATGGATTGTTAACACCCAATTTACCGTTATCAGAGAGCCGTGGAAACTGTCATCTCCGCTGTGAAATAAACGAATGATTAAAATATCGCTTAACACGAATAAGTAATGTGTAATTAGCATGCGATTTAGATAATGTATCTGTGGCATTATTCAGAGTGCCATCCGCTAATGCGAGCTGTTTCAAGACTTTCGTAGGTACATAAAAAAAAACCTAATAATTTTCGCCGGATTAAAAAACGTGTTTCACTTAACATACTGCCGGCTGGAACGTAATTAAACGTTGGAATAAGATGCTGCAATTTACATTTCTATTTAGCTTTAATAGATTTAATTTAAATTAATTACAAATAAAGAAACTTGTACTGGCAAAACAACTATTAAGATATCTCTCTCCGATAGTTCCCTGCCTGCGCATCTACTGCCCGTCCGTTAGTTTTTGCCGAGGTGAACAGTTATTGTTCAGTTTTTTCGTCTTCATTTGTATTTTTCCCTTCCACAATGGAAATGGTATAATGGCGTTCGCCTACGTGGGCCCGTTTTGTTATTTGTTGCACTAGCAAAATCGCCGTGTTCGATTACCGTCTACTTCGATGCCATGATACAGTTAATTACAAACGCAAACACCATTATTAAGTGTCATTGCACCGACTGAATCAATCGTTTAGATAAAATTTGGATGTCGCAAATGAATCAAGTAATATGAAAACAATAAGGAACATATTCCAATAATCCGAATAACTGAAAATGTTCCGATAAAAGAGACGTAATACAGGATTCTTTCCTTCATGTTTCACGAGTTAACGCTTTTATTTTTAATGTTTCATTGGAATGTATCTTCAGTTGTCAACAGCAACCGGATTGTATACTCCACTCTAGTTGTTCTTAAATGGAATGAGCCAATTATAAGTGCGGCAATCGCAAGTCCTTCGATCAAATGTGTTGAATCCATTAAAATCTCTTATTACCTAGTTCAAAGAATCGTCTTTTTTACTGATTATTCACAATGTAATATGTATTAATTGGTTAGATAATTTTCCGGATAGTTGCCACATCGAAAGACATATTACTCTCTTCATCAGAAAGAATTGGACTAGGAGCTATATGACCCGGGATCAGCTTTGAAAAATTATGAATATACTAATAGGCACATTGATAAAGCCATGAGGAAAATGAAGAATATCTACTCGTACTCAAAGATGCACCGACAAAATGCGTCACCTTTTAAGAGAACACACTATTAATTGACTTTCTTTCCAAGACTCCAAAGCCCCGATGTATACGCGAAAGTGAGAAGACTTTTTTCCAAGATTCCTATCGTGATAATTCATAAAAATCAAGAACTCGAACGTCACAAATCAGTGACATCAAAGCATGTATGGGAGCACAGCAAATATACATACCAGCCAGAGGACTTAATCTTCAACTTCAAAGTTTCAAAAATCTACAAACCAAGTTAAGTTTGCGTTAACTTTCTCAATTTCTTAATGTTGACTTTATGTAGGTAACAATTTTAAAAATGTGAGCCTTTGATAAAATGAAAAAAGTAAAGTTATATTTTGTTGTGGGGGAAATTCAGGCTGCTTTTGACGAAGTGTGTAGTGTAATAGTAACAGATACGTACGGAGTTCCCAGAGTAGTTATTCTGTGGCCAAACTCCGGAGTTTGCCGAAAGTTCGGCCCGGGTCCGGAATTAGTTGTAAGGTGAGAACGGCGGGCGAGAGGAGTCGAGTTGTGATATTGCGTTTAGCGACCACCCGTTGAGCAAAGGACTAGTGGTAATCCCTCGGAACGATGGTAATGAAAGTGGGGCATCATCCGGAGCCCCTTTAGCGCCGTACTACGATGCTACACTATTCCTAGAACCCCCCTTTATTGCAGCAAAGGGCACGGCCCGCTGTTGCCGCGAATCTGCAACCCGTAGTTGGCGCTATTGAACCGCCGTCATCTGTTTACCATCGATTACCGTTCGCCTACAGAGAAATGCTCTGTCACTGTCGTTCATTTCCGTATCCGCCGCTGCCTGCTCCTGTCGTGTTTTGCACTAAATTTACACACAGCTATCATGTGCACTCAATAACAGATCAATTCCCTTTTTATTTCACCTTGACTCCGCTACGCAACATAACCTATAAAATATTCGCGCGGCGGATTTATTTCATTCTTTCTCTTGTTGTTGCACACGAGCAAGGCTAAAAGCGCCCCGTTTCGTATACGTTCGCGATACTTTATGGTACGTCATACATTTACCTACTGTTAATCGTGATCGACTGTGGGTATCTAATATTCTCAGAACGCCGGGGTATTTTTTATATCACTAGATCCAAGGCCGAACTATCTATCACACTGTATGAGCTTTACTAAAAACAGATGCGATCAATTTACATTCATTTCTAAAGAACTCAGATGTTGTTTGTGCTTTCAAACGTGAATATTTTTGCAATCATAGTCACAATTTTTTTTAATGTTGAATGTGTAATTCTATTCATAAAATTAGTCGCTGCAAATCTTCGTGGTACAGAGTTGGGCAAAAGTAAGTACCCAATTTAAGTTGCCTAATTAAACAACTCATTTAAGTAAACTCAATATTTTATTTCTACATTTTCATATTATCTGTAAATAACCTCTCAATAAGGAAATCACACCGCTTTAAAAACCACTTTAAAAAATGCCTGTTTTTTGCGTGCACCAGTTTCAATTTTTTCTTTATTTTTTTCTGTCTTTTCCTACCTGAAAAATATTTAAAAATTTAAGAAATAAATCCTTGCGCCAAAGAATCGGTCAAGAGTTATTTTTATGAAGCTAGTTATGCCTAACCAAGAGTCTCACTTTGAGAAAAACGCTTTAAAAAGGACACCTGAACGTTTCGAAAATCTATCTTTGTTTTCAGAACCGAGAATGATATTTTGTTTTTAATTTTTGACGGTTTACATTTGTTTGTGTAAGTACCTGCTCCGATAGCAAAAAATATCATATGATATTTAGAATATTATTACTTGTTTATTTTATTAATGTTTATAGCCAACAAATTCCTTGTTCTTTCCCAAACATGATCGCATTTTTTTATTACTCAAATTCCGCTTTTTAATAATCCTTGTACTTATATTCACATAAACAGAGAAAAAACTAACACTATGCCAAAAAGAAGTAACTTCAGACAAATATCATTTTCAAATTATTATTGTAAAAAGATACAAGTCTGAGCAAGAATAAAATAACAAAATGCCTGCTGACTTTTATTTATTTATACTTATTATATACTTAACTTTTATCCCACCCTGTGTAAGAAACTTATATCATTTGAACTGTAGCAGATAAAAAACTGCTCGCAATGAATTTGGATTGGCGTGTAGCATATGCCTAAAGTGATTAACATTGAAGTACGTACTCGCACTTGACGTAAAGTCAATAAATTGATTTATTAATTTCTAAGAATGACCAATATTCTGAATAACTTGGTTAAGTAATCAGCTGGCTATATATTATTGTGAATAAACTTATATGAAATGCGTAAGGATATTCATCATCTGATGAGTAAACAAAATCGCAACCGGTACTCAGAGTACAAATAACTATTCTGGAGCTATTCTAGAATGCGGAAACAAAATTACTGTAAACAATAATTCTCTGTGACGAATTTAAAGGGTGCCCAAAAATACTAACTTATTTTTCAGAATTAATACCAATAAAGCTTCTGCATGCACTAGGCGGGATTTTATGTGTTTTTCCAAAGTTCAAAGGTAGAGCATATGGGGGTTGTGTAGAGTGTAGCTGTTGTATATATTGGGATATTATTAGCGGTAATGGCTGTCGTATGTCTGTTTCAGTGTAGTATATTGTTTTTCCATTGCAGGCAAGTGGTGTCCGCGACGAGAGTGGTCGTCGCCTACCGACGCCCGGGCAGCCACCGACGCTGCGCGAAGAGGCGTCCTTTATTCCTCCGTCTTCCTCGGTAGTCCCGGTGAGTAACATCCTGCTTCAGGATTCTCTGTGTATCTCCTCACCGTAAACGCCAATAGCAGCATGCTTAGATATTGGTAGAGCAGGATTTTTTGTTTTTATCTATCCCCCTACCCCCTTTTTCTTATTTATGATTTCTAACCACTCACTTCTTTTTTCCTTTCATTCCTCGGGCATCTCGTGCAAATTTAATTGGTTTTTCGTACGTGTTTTGTTTCAATAAGAGACGAAAATTGGAAAGAATTTTTGTGCTTCCAAGAAATAAAACATTAGAATAAAAGTCCGTTTCGCATTTTTTTTCTTTTAGCTTCAGGCAATATTAATGCCAGGAGAAATAACATTTTTTGTCCTTGCGTTTTTCATAAGAAATCATATTTCTACCTTCCATTTTCTTCCAGAAAATTTTTTAAATTATTTTTCCAAGCAGGTGTATGTCAATGATTAGTAGGTAGGTACACAAAATAAATGTCTCACAGCAATAATTTTTAATACTTAATACTTTCTACTTGATAAGAATGCAAACGACCATGAAAATGAAACGTTATTTTACAAGGTTGGAGGTTTAGAAAGATATGTGGTCCGTATCTGCCATTGACGATCTGCTGTTGAAAAAATCCTACCGCGTAAATCTTCTCATACGATCTAAGAGAACGTCTTCCCATTACTCATTTATTTGTTCCTCTTTGTATTCCATTATATTTATTATCGCTCGATTGTTGACTAAGGGTCATTCGACAGTGTCATTAGCCGCAAATAAAACAGTAATTCTTTCATTTCTCCGATCCAACCCAATTTCCTTCGTCCTATTATTTTTTACATCTTATTTATTTTTATTTAGTTTTTCTCTTTGTGTTTAAATTCACTTTAATAGGTATAAAGTGTCTTCTTTCATTTGTTATATAGTTAGACTTGCAAATAGCAGCTAGAAAACAATTTTAAAAATGTATATTTATTTAAACAATCCAATCAATCTCTCCAGCCAATCACTAGATAATATTGTCAAAACGTGAGCTATCTAGTAAGTAATATAATTTACATTACTGATACGAAGTTCCAGGTGAAATCAGTATTCTGTCAATGTTTTCTACAATTACATAATCTAGCAACCTATTATCAACAAATAAGCTATGTTCACATACAATGAGATCATCACTGACTGACAGCCCATTCGATATTTGTACCCACACAACTAACATTGCTACTAGTCAAAGTACAGTAGCTCGTTTGGCCCTTTAGCGTAGGTAAATTTGACAGTTTGTAAGTAAATTCCATATTTATTTATTTATTTTCTTTTTAACCTGCTATCCAACGGGATCAGTTCCCAATTACAATGAATACAGTAAATAAAATAAAACCTCCTAAATAAAAAAAATAACAATAACAATTAAACTAAATAAAATATTGCCAAACAAAGAAAATGTAGCAGAAAACAAATAATAATAAAGTCAATCAGCGATTTGCACGCACCAGATCTTTGACGTTCTGAACAATGAATATTCAGTTGAAGAACATGAAGCTGAGACAAATACTTTGTTTTAGATTGTGAGATATTGCAAGTAAAAATCTATCTAGGCTGTCGTTTTGTACCCTTACATCAATGTATTTTATTAAATAGAGAGGTAGTAGTATAATTAAGACAACATTAAAAAGAAAACTATAAAATATTGTATACAGAAACATTTTCTGTATCTGGAGGAATTTAACAGTACCTACCTCATCAATTTTAAACATACATTCGTATAGGAACAATTTAAAATTGATAGACTTGGCGTTACGTTTCAAAAGCTTCCACAACGCGCGCCTAGAGCTCCAGATGTAAAATGCGTCGCATTAGTTATCAAGATTATATCTAGTAGCTAACTCACATTTTCTAAATTATATAATTGTTACCAGAACGTTAAAAACAGTCCCTTACATCCCCGTCCAAAAATAACACGGTAAACAACGTCGAGCCAGCGACTCCGCTGCCTGCGTCTTGCCTTGTCTTTCTCGGGCAGGCCGTATACACAAACACATACACACACACGTTTTCCCCACCTTGCGCGGGGGGACAGCGGGGGGCCGGCCGGCGAACGTTGTCATGGTTACGACCGCATTCCCGCCTCGCAGCCATGGTGACGCGGGGCGCATGCGCCGCGTCTCGCTAGTGGCGCGTTGCGGTGGAATGGCGAACTGCTGGGAGGCGCGCGACTCGGCTCTCCTTTTTTCCGCGACCGCCGCCGTCGAGCGTTCTCTCGTTCGCTGTTCGCCGGCTGCAATATGCAAACGGCTGCGTACATCGCCGGCGCGTCGCGGCCTGCCCGGATGATTTAGCGGGTTTTTTGCCGCCAGGATTACGGAATTGCATATTAAATCGTTGGGGGGGGTGGAAATTCTTTATTTTTCTGCATACACTTATAACAATTTATGTAAAATTATATAATAGAATATCGATTATTCTGATGCTACATATTTTCATGTGAAATTACATTAAGCATGTGATTTTCCAACTGGTTGAATTAAAACAGTCCCCTGTAAATTCTCGTTTATTGTACCTACATTTTGATCGAAAGCAGTAAAAACACACACAAGATTAAAATTACATAATTAAAATGGAACAATACCACGTAAGAAATATGAAATAGTAAATGTAATTACTTCACTTTCCGTATAAAATAAAAAACATTAGAAATGTGTACAATTTAATATTAGTACAGTAAAAATAGTCAATCCAATTTCAAGTAGATAATGTTCTTCAAATAATATTTATAAGTAATTGTTTTATTTTTTTGTCGAAATATAGGTAAATAGTATTATGTAGGTACATAATATTCATTATTAATAATTAACTTTAATTTTTATTAGTACCTACCACATTGATACGATGGAAACTTTTTAGAACCGCTGACTCCACCGCTAGCTCTGCTTTTGTTTACAAATGTTGGTGTATACCTATTTGAAAGTCGTTGTATATAAAAATGTGCAACTAATTGTCAGTTTTCATTCATAGTACACATACAGCATAGACATACCATTCTTTCACAAAAAGAAAACAGTTAAAAGTAACAATCTACAAACAAATTACTACATGGAAACGTTTCTTCACTAATAATTTTCACAATAAAAGATATGCGTTTCTCTAATAAAAACTAAACTCGAACTGATCATTATTTAAAACTGAACTAGCAATTTTTCTGTTTACTCTAACAAACGGAGCGAACAAACAGACCACACGCCATTTACGGCCACAACCATTGACCTCTTTTAATGTAGTACCTATGTAAGTCAGAGAAAATTCCAGAAGTTCTGAATAAGTTTTAACATTTAATGACTATTAATTTTACACATCGTTTTGCACCTTCGGCGATTTTGATTGTTGATAAAGCTTGTTTTAATACATTATCTACCACAATTGCTGCCATAAAAATCCCCTTTAAGTTTATAAACACCCTGTATACTTAGTATTCAAAAATTTAATAGTAGTTATAGTAATTTTCATAATCACTAATATTTTTTCTTAATGTAAAATGATCTGCGTATTCTTTGTATATTTTTTTATTCGAACAAATCGCAGAATTGCAACACGGTGCATCTTATACCTAATTAACATTTTGTCTCATCTTTAGGCTGAAGTCTAATGCGATAAAGCTTAATTACGTGCATTTAACGTCCTTTGCACTAACTTCTACGTCGATTTTAAAACGTTTGCAATTAGGTAGATATTTATTGCTAACAATTAAACTAATGTGAAAGTACCTATAACAGATAATCATTTTATGAAACTGTGACATAAATTTTATGGTTGCCTGTTAATTATAATTAATATAAAATTAATGTCACAGTTTCATATTAAACACATTTAGAATTTAGCTCGCCTAGAAATGAAATAGGAAGATGTCCATAAATTATGGGTAGGTACCTACCTATCTATTGATGATTTTTAGAAACTTTATCCAATGGGTAGGAGAAACATTTTTTCAAGTATTGCCCAATCTGGTTACCATCCTGAATCCAAGAGCTTGATTTGAAATTGTACAAAAAATTATCTTCCAAAAATGTACCTCTAAAGAAACTGAAATCACTATTAAAGTCACCTTATTTCTAGCAAAAAAGTATGCGTTTATGGTGATTTTAGGTGCCGGAATTTCAAAAAACAGGACATGTAGGATAAAAATAAGCACAATAATAAAATTTTTGAAGTTCTATTTATTCATTATTACCAATTAAATTTTGGTGATATAAAGTTATATTGTAACTTATAAAAACAAAGTTTTCATGACTCACCTGTTACTAACCTAAAGTTTCGTTATAATTTGCCTACAAACCTGCCTACAAACAAAACTGCCTCATCAATTTTATACATAACAGTAAGTTTATATTATGGGAATACCTACCTAAAAACATTTGGACATTTTTATTAAGATTTATAGAATGGAAACCTGTTAAAAAATAGTAAAATTTCTTAAGACATAGTTCATCAATTGATTAAAATCAGTTTCCAACAAGCAGACGTATTTGATTCGAAACAACGAATTTGTAATCTTATGTAAGCATTATGTCGCAATGCGCATGCGCCTGACTAATTGCATTGCTCGAGGAACAAAGCTGATATATACGTTTTCTGTATTGAGTATTAGCACTTCCTGAAAGGCAGTTTGACGTCTTTGTCAGGCAAGGATTGAGGTTACATTCATATTTCGAATACTTTAAAGTACAATTCATCAAATATACTAAATGCTCTAGTTTTGTCACGTCTGCCATAGCTATCACGAATTGAAGAGAATCATTTTGTACAGGTTGTCCCGAAATTCATGCAACAAAATTTGGTCATAGATTCTTAAGACAAATTTAGGAGACTCGTATTTTTTCGGAGTTACAGCCCCCTGAAATATTCCCCTAAGAAGTTTTTTTATATCTGAAAACCATGTTGTACGAGAATCACTAAATTTGTACACAGGGGTTTTATGACAAGTGGAATCTCACAGTGCTACGCTTTTTGGCGAGAAACCCCCTTAAGACACT